ACATACAATACGATAGAAAATTACTAGCTTTTCTTCAGATATATATATATATATATATATATATATATATATATATTTCTAGCATAAAATATTTATGGGCTGTGTATTTCATGGGCCGTGTAAGTTTAGGTATATAGGGTTAAAACCTAATCTGAAATACCTCTCGGTATATTGTGTGCCTTTATTTTTTTGGGGCGGTAATTGGTGTAGTGCTTACTCAATGATATGGTGATTGCAAGTTAGATTGGGATTAGGGTTTTTATTGGCTGATTTGATTTATTTTATTTTGAAATGTGATTCTTGAGTGAAGTGTAGTAGTAGGGTGGGAATTTTATTGGGTCATTATGGGTTTGCCCTGTTCTTGTTTTTTTATGCAAATTCAAATTTGCAGGGAAGCTTTTGGGCAGTTTCAATTATCAGATTTATTTAAAGCAAATATATAATTTTTTTGAAATTTTGTTTGAAGGCATGTAATTTGTTGTTGCAAATTACCTGTATTTTACTTTAGTTTATTTTTGGCCAATGTGATGCATATAAGTTTTATCTACAAATTTACAGGGAAAATATTGGTGCTTTCTTCTATATTAGATACATGTCTTGCAAACATTGTGGTTATATGAGTATGAGCATTGTAATTGTTTTCCTAGTTATAGTTCCAATTGATATTTTATCTTTAAAAAAAGGAAAAATATTTAGAACTATTAAAAAAAATCATATTACTATAGGCAAAATTTATGCAATATTTTCAAGCCGAAATGAGGGTAATGCAATCTTTCTGGCGTAGCCAAGCAACAACAATGTATTTCCGAAGTTGCATTCAGATATTAACCAAATAGCAAAAACTCATTTTTAAGTAATGCATTAGGCTTATTTCTAGGTATCAAAACAGTCCCTTAAGGCGTGTTTGATAACAGGAAGTTTCTTCCAAAGACTCTGGAAGTTATAAATGTTCCATCTTTGATAAAAGTGAGTAGGTTAAACTTCCCCCATTTACGCTTAAAAAAAAGTTCGGTCGATTTAGAGATGGAACTTAAATTGGGAACTTCAAAGTCCCATTACTGTAAAACTTCCCCCATTTACGCTTACAAAAAAGTTCCGTCGATTTAGAGACGGAACTTAAATTGGGAACTTCAGAGTGGAAGTTCCTGCATGAAGACCCTTCGCTGAGCAAGCTTGAAGACCCAAACTTAAAAGCTGAAACAAGGGTTTTTTTTACTTTTTACCTTGGCTCTCTCTTTCTGCTCTGGGCTCTGGTGCTCCACTATCTACCTACACAAGCGTTTTTTTTACTTTTGAGTTTTGACCTTGGCTCTCTCTTTCTGCTCTGGGCTCTGGTGCTCCACCCTCTACCTACACGATCAAGATTCAAGGTATCTCTTCCAAAAATTTCAGGTACTCTCTCTCTCTATCCCACCCTATGGCCCCAAGCATGATGCCCTCTCTCTCTTCCTATGTCCTGTAGCTCTGCCCTAAATTTGGGTGTTTTTATAGAACAACATCCCTATAACACCGAATAAAGGCAAGCATCTGTACTGATATTTTTATGAATCATTATTTTTTATTGTTGCTTATCTATTAATTCGGTGTGTTATTTCCATGGCGCTAGGATTTTTGTTTTGATACTTTTCCTTTGTGATGCTTCATGAATTTTTTTTTTGACTATTTATTTGAAAATTGAAAGGATGAATTTGGTTAGATCTCAAGGATGAAATTGATTAGATTAAAATTAGGATTTTAATAATTTCTCTATGCTTTTTTTTGGTTGGATTAAAATGCTCTATTTTTTGGTTGGATTTTTGGCAATGTACATTTGGACTAGATATGGAGTTATGGACCTCATGAACTTTATTATTTGTATCTTTTTTTTTTTGTTTATATATTATGTATGTGCATGAATGTTTTTGTGATCTCTATGGTTATAGATTCGTGGACATATGTTTTTTACCACTGCATTTGTAAGTTTTTGATTGGATTAAAACAGAAAATGATGGATATTCATATTTATTATCATTTAATATTTATTTGGAATGTCAAATGATGAATACTGAAGCTATAACTTGCTCTTTGTGATTAAGGTTTATCATTGGTAATAGTATTAGCATATAAGTAGTAACAAATTTTTTATTTTTTATTTTTAAATTTTTAATTTTTCTTTTATTTTTTTTAACTTATAAAAATATATTTCAACTTTTAATTTCTTTAAAAAAAAAAACCCAAAGTCTTCCCCTGAATCAACCGAATTGCTTCATTTTTCATGCCCAACCGAAGTAGACTCTATAGCGAATCTGACAACATTAATGAATATATCTGTACTTTTCATTGATTTTCTTTTGTGTATGTTTATGAGAATTAGGGTTTTCTATAACTGCATTTGAATATTTGGATTGTAGAGTGGATATATGTTGATTCGTGCTGAAAATATGTACAGTCTTCTTTGGATTGTTTTTTCTTGAAGAGGATTTTAGAAGATAAGGATTTATCGTGGTGTTAAATTTCTTTGTGGCTTGGGGTACTTTAGGGCCTGTGTGATACATGTACTTTCATATATGTAATTTATGGGTGAGTGAAGGGCAATTCTTGTTTGGTTTGGTTGGAGTACAGGGTTTGGTTTGAGTACAGGTTTTTAATGATGCTTTTCTATGCCTCTTTTATATTTTTTTGAATTTTGCTAGATTTAGGTTTTATTTATTTTTCCTTTGCATCAATTCATCCTGTATATAGGTGGTTTTGTTGGTACTTATTAGTGAGTATTTTCAGTTTGAAGAACCTTTATCTTCTGCAATTTTTATTGAATATTTCTTTTTGTTTGAAATTTTTGGGAACTTGTAAGAATTGGGTTTTCCTGTTTTGATATTTCAGAATTGGGTTTTTGTGTTTTGATATTTCAAGGTTTTCAAGATGAAAATTTTCTTCATCTTTCTCTCTCTTGCCCCTGGATCTCTTTCTTGAGCTCTGATCCTTGCTATTGAGCTTTGATTCTGTGTTCTTCATCTATGATATGAGAACACGTTTCATACTTATTTAGCATCCATAGGGTTTTATTTGACCATTGAGAATGTAGTTATAGAATCAGCGGAAAGAAAAAACAAACAACTTGTTATAGATTGATTGGAATTTTTTGCAAATAACAACATTTCTCAAGGAAATCAGCAGGAAATTGTTGAGTTTGTTGTGGAATTTGAGTTCAGAAAATGGTTGAAAAATCCAATATTGAGAGAGACTAAGAAAGTGGAATTTAAGCATTAACTTTCCAGGAGGTTATCGAACACAGAAACCAAGAATTTCTTTAACTTCCCAGGAGGTTATCAAAACTAGGAACTTTTTTAACTTCCCAGGAGGTTATCAAACACATAAACCAGAAACTTCTTACAGTTATTTCTATCTTCCCAGCAAGGAGGAACTTCCAATTTGCAGTTCATGAACTTGCTTCTAGTTATCAAACAAGCCCTTAGGGTGTGATTGGCAACTAGAACTTTAGTTGTTAGGCTACTAAAGTTCCCATCTATATGACAAGTTCCTAGTTTGGTTAGCGCGGAGGTTTGAGGAGCAGGGGCGCCTGTCTCACCCAATAACGTGAAGTATAGTCCACCTCACCTAGAGGTGGCAATGGGTCAGACCCGGACCCGAAGAAACAATATGGGATTTAGACTTGACCAGACTTGAATTCCCCGAAGTTGTGCAAAAATATAATATGGGATCAGACCAGACCCAAAAATTAAAATATCAATGTAATTAATTATATTTTAATATATTTTATATATTGTAACCCAAAAAATATTACTAGAACTGAACGCGGACCCGACCTGCTAGGTCTAATTTTTAGACCCGTACCCGAACCCGACCTTCTAGGTCTAATTTTTAGACCCCTACCCGAACCCGACCTTCTATGTCTAATTTTTAGACCCGTACGGGAACTCGATCTAGGTCTACCCCTCGGGTCCAGTCCATTGCCACGTCTCCACCCTAAGGAGAGCGGCACTTCGGTCATATATGTTTTTGCCTCCACTTGCTGCTGACTTAGCAGAGAGAGAGCTTTGCATTTGATTTTCCAGTAGAGAGAGAGAGAGAGAGAGAGAGAGAGAGAGAGAGAGAGAGAGAGGAGGGAGGGAGGAGGAGAGAGAGAGAGAGAGAGAGAGAGAGAGAGAGAGAGAGAGAGAG